GAGAGAGGGGAGGGAGTGTGTGGGGGGGGTGGAAGGGTGGGGGTGGAGGGGTGGACTTGCACCCATGCTCCCAGGCCCTCCAGAGGGTGGCATAAAAGCTCCTCCACGTCTATACGAATGCAAGCAAATACTGGTCCGCAGCTCCTGTACACGAGGAACTCCATTCCAGCGGTCAGTGTTTTCCGCTTAGCCAGAACTGCTGGCTTTGCAGAGTTGACTTACTCATTCTCTACTTGGTTGTGTCTCTCACCCTGACCAATCCAGTACCTGGGAAAGCATGGGGACTCCCAGAGGCTTCTGCTGCTGCTAGTAACCTTAAGGATTAGTCTGGTGGTCCAGAGATCTGGGTTTCAGTGAGCAGGTTGTGTTGCCTGCTCTGTGCCTTGTGCTTTCTTATCCTGGTTCACCACCAGTAAAATGAGTCTTGTGCTCCTGTTGCCTAGTACCCAAAGGACATGAGGGGAAGGAGAGCCTGGACCTGGAATCTCTTATCTAGTAAGTAAGTACTCAAGCTCAGCCCTAGTGTGAGAGCCCAGTGAGAGTATGTCCTCTTAATCCCCCTCTCAACTCCCCTGGGCAACATGATTAACCTAGGGTCACACCTGGATCCCAAGAGAATTAGAACCAAGTTTTTTCACTCCTACTCCAGGGCTCTCTCCACAATCTCCTACAAAGGGATATTGTAAGGGTAGAAACCCATTATCTCCTGGCATCCAGCCACTTTGCCAGTTCCAAATGGGGGAGGTAACATGCTAGAGGCACGGAAACTGCTTTCAGATTTCATCCCCTCCTTGGGATGAAAACCAACAACCACATTCTCCATCCTTTCTGCTTCACTCTTCTCAAAGTATATTCCTACTCATAAACTTAATGTGTGGGTGCTCCAAATTCCTTCTAAGAGGAAGACAAGAAAACTCATCTTACTAAGGAGGAAACAAGGCCGAGGGGAGAAGGTTCTTACCACATGGCTAGACTGTTGGAAAATGGAGGCAGAAACCCAGGTCTATTGATTTCCAGGACTTACAGAATCGTGCCTTCAGATGGTCAGGGACTACAAGAATGATCAGAGAGGGTGGGAAACAAGGATGGGTCTGAAGGAAGTAATCATTTCTGAAAATCACGAAGAGTAATAAGAGCCCCTGGCTGCTTCTGAGGGTAAAAGAGCCAGAGTGGGGAGAGGTGGCATGGAGATGGCTGGTCTAACTAATATGGGGGAGGGGGAAAGTTGGAGACAGAGAGGCAAACAGTGACCAGGCTGCCCAGTAATTTTCTCCTATGTTTACAGTTTCTAAAACACTTTCCTATCTGTTGTCTCCTTCAGTTTTCATGTGTGGTAAGCAGGGCAGGGATAATTATTCCCATTTTATAGATGTGGTTCAGAGAAAATAAATGTGGTCCTCAAGGTCACAAAACTAAACATGGAGCCAAGATTGGAATCTGAAAGGCACCCTTGAAAGGAAAGATCAGAAGCCAAGAATGAGACTTGGATTAAGTGTGTGTGCTGTGTAGTGGGTGTGTAGAGCCACACCCTCCGTAGGTATACAGGGAAGAAGACTGCAAAATTATTGCTTGTGTTTAGGGCCCAAGAATGTTTGCTCTTTGGATTAAATGGGGTTCAGGTGCAGGAAGTGTCTGAACTTCCAAAGGACTCTCAGAATTCCTCCTCCCCTAATTAACCCCACCTGATAAAGGCGGCTTCTTTTCTTTGAACCTTCTCTTTTCCAGACTAAATGAACAATCTGTTTTTGCCAGTCCTTGATGTTGCTTCTCTTTTTAAAAAAGTATTATAAGCTGTTTACATGATACAGAGAGAGAGAATGTGAGTGTGTGTGTGGCCGTGTGTATAGAGGAGGTATTGATTCATTTATTTCTGAGTGCCAGCTGTGTCCTCAGGCGTGGGGAATAAAGTTATGTATGAGGCAGAAGTTCTGGCCCTCAACACTTCACAGCACCTGCACACACACACAATTTCATTACAGCACAGTGCTCTAATAGAGCTTTGTGCAAAGCACTTGGGGAATAGATAAGAGGGAGAGAATAACTGTCTAGGGAGTAGGGAAGGAGGTGTCTCAGGAAAGGATCTAAAGAGTTGACATTGAAGCTGGATCCTGAAGGATGATGAGTAGGCGTTTGCTGAGTGGAAGGAAATTCCTGCTAAGAAAACAGTATTATCAAAGGCAGGAGGTGTGCTAGTGCAAGGAATGCTTAGAGAATGGGTACAGGGCTCTGGGAAAACTGTAGGGTGATGGGGCCAGTGTCGGTGTCTTATCCAAAGAAGTTTGAATGATAATCAGAAGAGTTTAGACCCTACTTTATAAGAAGCAGGGAACTTATGGTGGAAATATCTGTTGAAGGAGAGTAGGAATACCTGATTTTTGGTCCCATCCCTGCCTCTACCAAGTGTAAGACCTTGAGCAAGTGATTCCTCGAGGTATGGATGGTTGAAAGAGGGTGCATACTTACAACCTAGTCATTAAGATCCCTTCCAGCTCAGATTCCATTCCTGTGTCTCTTCCCAACTAGATGTTAAGGTCCACCCTTAAACTCCTCTCCCACTCCACAGGCTTTCCAGTCTACAGCAGTGACAAGACCATCAAAATGACAGTGGCAACACTGTACACCTCAGGGGTTATCTTTGGATCTCCTATTTGCTTTATGTCACTTTTTCTATCTGCCTCTCTTTACCTCAACTCCAAGGCCTTTAGACACTCATCCAGAAAGAGTAGTTGAAACAAAGCAATAGGGAACTAAAGGAACCAATGGTGGAGTTTCACTTTTCCCCAGAGAAACCTGAAAGAAAATGTCACTAAGTTTATCCTTCATATCACACTTGTACCCCAATCCCCAAATTAGAGGCTGATGAGTTCAAGTCAAATACTTTTTTTTTTTAAAGAGAGAGAGAGGGAGAATTTTTTAATATTTTTCAGTTTTCGGTGGACACAACATCTTTATTTTATTTTTATGTGGTGTTGGGGGTCGAACTCAGCGCCCCGCGCATGCCAGGCCAGCGCGCTACCACTTGAGCCACATCCCTAGCCCTCAAGTCAAATACTTTTACAGAGGACCTGTTTATGTGATGGAAATAGCAGGAGCACAGTGTAGACAAAGAGTTCTTGGGAGTCAGGAGTAGGTCTAGAGCAGAGCAGCCATGGGAAATGAGACCACAGAGGAAGGCTGGCTGTCTTTCAAAACCTACCAACTCCCCCTTAACTGGATCCTTGACTAAGATTGGCAAGAATATGTAGTATAGGAAAAGGTAGTGATAATAGAATCAGGGGAGGATGCCCCATACCTTGAGGAGGCAGTGTTTGGTGTAATATCCAGCTAGGATGCAAGGGAACACTGTCATCTGAAGTAGAAAAACAGCCCAACAAAGACCTGGGTTCTCATCCAAGTTCTGCCACTCACTGGCCATTTCATTTTGGACTAGTTACTTCCCCTTTCTGAGCATCAGTCTCCCCAATCACAGAAATGGAGACTTGGGCCTAGAATCTAGACTGGAGATGGTCTTTAAAATCCCTTTCAGCTTGCTCAGGTACTTTTTAAAATCTTTCTTCTAAACCGGTCCATCTTGGGAGCTTGGTGATCCATTGATGCTCTCTTAGAGAGGGAAGCCAAAGAGCACAGGAAAGAGAAGCAAAATGTCCAGTGTTGCTGACTGCCAATACCCAACCTGAAATCAAAGGCAGGTCACAGAGAACCAACCTATCCCTTCATTAGCTCTCTGCCTCTCCTGACTAAAACAGGATGCCCTTGTACCCAGGCCCTCATCCCCATCCAAACCCATGGCCTATGGCCTCTTTGCTCCTCCCATCAGAACTACAAATACCTGGGTCTATCCACAGAAACCCTAGTAGGAGAACCTGATAATGAATTTTCACACCTTTTAGTGAACCCCACCTCAGAGCCCACCCTGTCCTCCACACTGTCCCATCCACCACTTTGCACACATTATGTCTCCTCCCCATG